CTTGGTTGGAATGTCCTCGGGACTCATTCTGGTCAAGCTGAGCTGAAGTTGGTCTTCTTTGGGAAATACCTATTCAAACTTCTTTCTGTATCCCACATATACACCAGTCTGGTATCCTCATTATCTTCTCTCTTCTCTTCCATACATCCTACATATACTGTTTTCACTACTTAGAATAGTTGTCCTATGGAAGTGAGATTTGACTTAGTCTGGTGTGGCCAGAGAACAGGTATAAATTGTAAAGAGATCTGTACTCAATGAATAGAAAAAACAACTTTCTAATAATTAGTGCTATCCCCCAGTAGGATAGATGAGTTCAGGAGGTTGTAAGTTCCCCATCACTTGAGATATTTAAACAGACACTGAGTGACCCTCAGTTAGGATGTTGGAAAGGAATTCCTGTCTGGATGAGGGGTAGATTAAATGGCCTCTCAGATTTCTTCTTGTTCTTGGCTTTTATGATTCTATGTTATACCACATGTATTCCCATGCTTCTTCCATTTCTCCAGACTGAAATGTCTGTGTCCTTTTCTCTCTCGTCCAAATACCACCCATTCTTTTTTGTTTCATTTTGTTTTTTGCTTTTTGGTGAGGCAATTGGGGTTAAGTGACTTGCCCAAGGTCACACAGCTAGTAAGTCTCAAATGTCTGAGGCCAGATTTGAACTTAGGTCCTCCTGACTCCAAGACCAGAGCTCTATCCACTTTGCCACCTAGCTGCCCCAATATCACCCATTCTTTAAGGCCCATCTCAAGTCCCTTTCCTAACTAGTCCAAGCACTTTGACCTCTCCCTTTCCTAAACTTTTAAATCCTTCAGAATATAATCCAGCACCTAACTATATCCTGTTTTGTACTGTTCTAAACTGCTTTGCATGTGTTAGAGGCAGCTAGGTAGGCATCAAGAAGTTATTGTTGTTGTTTAGTCAGGTCCAAATTTTCGTTACCCTACTGACCATACTGTCCGTGGTGTTTTCTTGTCAAGGATACTAGAATGGCTTGCCATTTCTTTCTCCAATGGATTAAGGCAAACAGAGGTTAAGTGACTTGCCCAGAGTCACACAGCTAGTAAGTATCTGAGGTCACATTTGAACTCAGGTCTTCCTGACTCCAGGACCAGTGCTGTATCCACTGGGCCATCTAACTGCAACTGAGTCCAGAAGACTTGAGGTCAAATCTGGCCTCAGGCACTTGCTAATTATGTGACCCTGGGCAAGTCACTTAACCTCTGTCTAACTCAGTTTCGTCATTTTCAAATGGAAGTAATATCACCTACCTCACAGGGTTGTTTTGAGCACCAAATGAGATAGTATTTGTGAAGTACTTTGCAAACTTTAAAGTGACATCTCATATTATTATTATTATTAATCTTGTTTACTCTAATTGTGTTTTAAGTTCCTTGAGAACAGAGCTTGGGGCATATCCTCTCTGTTTATCCTCCACAGTGCTTAGCATAGCACATGGTAGCCACTCAAATCAGTATTTGCTGGCTTTGGTCGAAGAATATTGGGTTGTGAACCTGCTTAGGATATTATCAAGTCACAGATGCAGTCTATCATACTGTATGTCCTACAGGAAGAAGTCCAGATTCTTCCAACGGGCATCGGAGGCTCTCATCTGACTTTGACCTGTGGCAGTACTGCCTTTTACGAGGCACAGGTGGCCCCATTCATAACTACTTCTCAATTTCCTCTATTCTCTTTCCCAGCCTTTGTGACCACTATTAAAAAGGCAAGGCAGTTCATCTGTTCGGCAGAAAGGCTATAGTAGCTTCTTCCAGTAGTCCTAATGAGGGCATCAGCCTCTCTCCAACTCTGAGGCTACCCTGCAGCCAGCCCTACTCCTTGCTTTTCTAAGCTGGATCCAAGTAACCCAACCTTCTGGACTAGGCCTTATGCTGCATAGCTGTAAGTGTTAACAGGAAGGATAATAAGAGAGCCAGGATGAGCTTTGTATTTGGCTCTGAGGAATCTTATTATCTGACTTTCTCTGGGTGTCCCTGAAGAGAGTGACTTCAAAAGAGTAAGATGCAATGTAGGCTCTCAAGGCTTAATCTGCATACCTCAAAGCAACAGGCAGTATTGAGTTGTGAGCACCAGGCCTGAGTTAGCAGCACCCTGAAAACTCCCTGTGAATCCTTTCCCATTGTCCTGGGCATACTTGGGTCAAAGGTCACAGGCACCTGGCAATCAAGGGTCACAGAACCCTGACAGCTCCCTTCCAAGAAGGAGCTCCCAATAATGGATTCTGGAGCTTGGTACAGAATGCCCTGGGTCATGGTAAAACAAAACAAAACAAAAAACAACAACAAAAACAAACTACTTCTGCTCACATCAGGCTACTGGAAATGTATTAAAAGAACTCAGGAAACAAACACACATAAGGTCATGGGGAGCCACCGTAAGAAAGCAGCCCCCATTTTCACAGATTGAATGTGGCTTCTATTATCCTTTAGGAATGATGGTTAGTTCTTATTGACCAGGGTCTAGCAGGTGAGTTAACCTGTACTTCGGTCTTATTGTAGAATTTTATCTCTGTTGCTGTAGACTAAAGTCAGGATTGTCTGTTACATTAGCCCAGGAGCAAAGATAAGCAGAGAAAGGTTTGAAAATGGCAAAGATGAGGCACATTCCTCCTCCTTTTATATCTGGAGGATATTGTTTAAGATGAAATGATTTTAGAAGAGGAAGAGACAGAACCATCACCACCACCCTCTTCTACACCTTAGAGATATGATCCTAACAAACAAGAAGACAAAGACCAAAACCGCATCCTTATTATGAGCTCTTATTGACTTACTTAATGAACCTCTGTTGAATTGAAGGGAATTAAAATGACTCATGCCTCATGATTTCCAGCATCTGATTGGAGATTTTCCCTGAGTCGGGCATGACACACAGAAACAAAATCAGAGACCGACAAAGAAGCTACTCAGGTAACCAGCCTCACTAGAGCTACTCAGTTTTTATGCTCTCCCTGCTGTCTACACAGTCAATTCTTTAGCATAAAAGCCAGTTTGGGGCAGCTAGGTGGTTCAGTGGATAGAGTACCAGGCCTGGAATCAGGAGGACCTGAGTTCAAATCTAGCCTTAGACACTTGACACTTACTAGCTGTGTGACCCTGGGTAAGTCACTTAACCCCATTGCCTAGCAAAAAAAAAAAACCCAAATTAAAAATAAATAAATAAATAAATAAATAAATGAAAGCCAGTTTAGAAACATTGGCCTAGATTTGTTCAGGCACCTAGGTGGTACAATGGATAAAGGAGGACTTGAATTCAAATTTGGCTTCAAACAGTTAATATGACTGTGGGCAAGTCACTTAACCCAATTTGTCTCAGTTTCCTCATCTGTAAAATGAGCTGAAAAAGGAAATAGCAAACCACTACTGTATCTTTGACACAAAAACACCAAATGGGGTCATGAAGAGTCACACATGAGTAAAACAATTCAACCACAACAAAGATTTGTTCAGAGGGAGAAAAAAGCTCTTGCCCTTCTCAGAGTTATGAGGAATAACTGCTGTCTGGGTCAATTGCCTTACCTTCCTCATTGGACTGATAATAATCACTTTCCCAACCAAGATAACTATGGGGCACCTGGCAGTGTCTCCTCATATATAAAATGGGCATAGTAAATATTTGCCTGATGTACCTTCCTGGGCTTTTTGTAGGGAAAATGCATTGCAAATGTTAAAACATAGGACAAGGAGTAAATTCCAGAACCTCCAGGATGGGGCATTTTCTTTCAAGGAGAGCACACAATGTGTCTTGTGGGTCCAAGAATTTCATAAAGAGCAGATTCTTTTCAAGACTTAAGTATAATTTCCTAATTGATTGGGTGACCTAATTGAACAGTAACTAAGTTACAGTTGCTACTCTCTTACTTAATTTATACATTATAAATTATACATTAAATTTATATATTCTCTCAAGTTTCTGACATTATGGAGGAAAGTCAGGCTGCATATTGTAAGGAAATCTTATTTACTCTGGTTTCTCTTGTTTTTTTTTTTTTTCTTATTATTAATGCTAATCTAGCTTCTTCTACTTTTAACCTCACAACGAAGGAGGAACCTGAACCTTCCAGAAGTCAAGGACAATGCTCTACTCCTTTTTAAGGAAAGATAATAGAGGACAGAAAAACCATCTACTTGGTAGATGAGGGCTCAGAGTTATGAAATTCTTGTTTTACCCATGAGGCAATGGGGGAGGGTATCACAAAGTTGTTTTATACCTTGACGAAGTGCTGACATTTTTGAAAGGGAGCCTCTCCTTATGTCTTCTTTGTGAGGCTGTCTTGTTGATGATGCTGTCCCAGGAGCTGATAGTTTTCAGGCAGTAAAATGCAGAGAAAGGTAAGGGGTGTTAGTGTGGTGTGGTAATGTATGTTCTTCCTTCCCCTTTACTTTCCACCTCTCCTTTCTAGGTTTCTATTTGAATGACTCCCTTCTAGGATGACTCCCTTGTAGGATTACTTCCTTGTGGTGAAAGGCTTATGGAGCTCAATGGAACTATGAACTATACTGTACAGGGTTACCTAAAATGGGCAGGTCATAGTGGAGAATTCAGACAAAAGCTGATTCCCCTGGAGAAGGAAACGGCAAACCACTCTAGTATATAGGTCAAGAAAACCCCATGGCCGGTATTACAATGCTAAAAAGATATGATATCAGAATGGCATACTACTTTTGGTCCATGGAGTCATGAAGAGTCGGATAGTGAACAACAACACTTGAGTAAGTCTAAAGACTTTTTTTAAAGGGGTTTAAAGGTGTGATTGGTTGTTTTATCTAAAGGTGTTCAAAGTTTCAGTTCTTTGTCTTCTCTTTAAGGTATTTGCTTTGTAAGTCTCCTGTTAAATCCTGGTGCCCCCCCCCCTTTTCTATTTCCATAATAATTTTTTGTTTTATTATTTTGTTCCTGTAACTTCTCTGAGAATTTGTGCTAGTTTATTTTTTTCATGCTTCCTTAGTAATAGTGAATTTATCTTTTGTATTAAGGTCCTATGCTCTCTTTAATTGGGATCACCTACTGGAGATCTTTTCTTGGAGATGGACTCATACATTCCTGAAGATCCACATTTGGAAAACTGTTCTTTTTAATGGTTGGTAACTTTAGGTATTGTTGGTAATCCATTCAACTTTTGCAATGAAAATTTACCTAATTTCTCATAAAGGTGTCAAGGACAAAAAGCTTTCTTTAGCTACATAAGGTGCCAAGTTTTGTTGTTTTTTTTTTTATGTAAAAAGAATATAATAGAGCACATATTAAGGAAAAATGACAGTTTAAATTTATCTTCTATTGAATCACTCATCTAAAAACTGGGACACCCACTGATTCTTTTTTTTTATTAATTTATTTTGATGTATCAACAATCATTTCCATAAGCTTTTAAATTTTAATTTTTTCTCCCCCTCCCTCCTCCCCTCCATTCCCAAGACAGTTCACAATCTGATATAGGCTATACATATACATTCCTGTTAAACTTATTTTCACATTAGTGATGTTGTAAAGAAGAATTAGAACCAATAGGAAGAACCACCAGAAAGAGGAAACAAAACAAACAGAAGAAAAAAAATAGCAAATAGTAGGCTTTGGTCTGCATTTAAATTCCATAGTTCTTTCTTTGGATGTGGATAGCATTTTCCATCATGAGACTTTTGGAGTTGTCTTAGATCCTTGCATTGCTGGGAAGAGCTAAGTCTATCAAAGTTAGCCATCTCACAACGTGGCTGTTGCTGTGTACAATATTCTCCTGGTTCTGCTCACTTCACTCAGCATCAGTTCATATAAGTCTTTCCAGGTTTTTCTGAAGTCTCCTTCCTCATCATTTCTTATAGCACAATAGTATTCCATTACATTCATATATGTCAACTTGTTCAGCCATTCCCCAATTGATGGACATTCCCTCAATTTCCAATTCTTTGCCACCACAGAAGGGACTGTTATAATTATTTTTGTACATGTGGGTCCCTTTCCCACTTTTATGATCTATTTGGGACACAGCCCTAGAAGTGCTATTGCTGGGTCAAAGAGTATGCGCATTTTTATAGCCCTTTGGGCATGGTTCCAAATTGCTCTCCAGAATGGTTGGATCATTTCATAACTCTACCGACAATGCATTAGTGTTTTAATTTTCCCACATCTTCTCTAACATTTATCATTGTCCTGTTTTGTCATGTTGGCCAATATGATAGGTGTGATGTGGTACCTCAGAGTTGTTTTGATTTGCATTTCTCTAATCAATAGTGATTTAGAGCATTTTTTTCATATGACTATAAATGACTTTAATTTCTTCATTTGAGAACTGCTTTTTCATATCCTTTGACCATTTATCAATTGGAGAATGACTAGTATTCTTATAAATTTGACTTAATTCTCTATGTATTTTAGAAATGAGGAAGTGAGCAGAACCAGGAGAACATTGTATGCAGTAACAGCCACATTGTGAGATGACTAACTTTGATAGACTTAACCCTTCTCAGCAATACAAGGATCTAAGACATCTCCAAAGGTTTCATGATGGAAAATGCTATCCACATCCAAAGAAAGAACTATGGAGTTTGAATGCAGATGGAAGCATACTATTTGCTATTTTTTTTCATCTGTTTTGTTTTGTTTCCATTTTCTGGTGGTTTCTCCCATTGGTTCTAATTTTTCCTTACAACATGACTAATGTGAAAATATGTTTAATAGGAATTTATATGTATAACCTATATCAGATTGTGAGCTGTCTTGGGAATGGAGGTGGGGAGGAAGGGGGAGAAAAATTTTAAATTCAAAAGCTTATGGAAGTGATTGTTGATAAATCAAAATAAATTAATAAAAAAAAAAGGAAAAAAAAAGAAATGAGGCCCTCATCACAGACACTGGTTGTAAAAATTCTTTCCCAGTTTTCTGCTTCCCTCATAATCTTGATTGCATTGGCTTTGTTTGTCCAAAAACTTTTCAATTTAACGTAATCAAAATTATCTATTTTGCATTTTGTAATGTTCTCTATCTTCTGTTTGGTCATGAATTCTTCTGTACTCCATAAATCTGATAGGTAAACTATTCCTTGCTCTCCCAGTTTGCTTAGAGTATCAGCCTTTATATCTAAATCATGAACCCATTTTGACTTTCTTTTGGTATATGGTGTGAAATTTTGGTCTATGCCTAGTTTCTGCCATACTCTTTTCCAGTTTTCCCAGCAGTTTTTGTCAAATACTGGTCTTATCCCAGAAGCTGGGGTCTTTGGGTTTATCAGACAGTAGATTACTATAATCATTGACTACTGTGTCTTGCATACATACTCCACTTATCTACCACTCAATTTCTTAGCCAGTACCTAGTTTTGATGATTGCTGCTTTATAATACAATTTAAGATCTGGACAGGCTAGGCCACCTTCCCCTGCATTTCTTTTTATTAGTTCCCTTGATGTTCTGGACCTTTTGTTATTCCAAATAAATCTTGTCATTATTTTTTCTAACTCTATAAAATAATTTTTTGGTAGTTTGATTGTTATGGCACTGAATAAGTAAATTAGCTTAGGTAGAATTGTCATTTTTATTATATAGCTCAGCCTACCCATGAACAACTGATGTGTTTCCAATTATCTGACTTTATTTGTGTGAAAAGTATTTTGTAAATGTGTTCATATAGTTCCTGGGTTTATTTTGGTAGGTAGACACCTAAATATTTTATAATGCCTACTGCAACTTTAAATGGAATTTCTCTTTCTATCTCTTGCTTTTGGGCTTTGTTGGTAATATATAGAAATGCTGAAGATTTATGTGGATTTATTTTATAGATTGCAACTTTGCTAAAGTTGTTTATTATTTCAAGTAGTTTTTTACTTGATTCTCTAGATTTCTCTTAGTATATCATCATATCATCTGCAAAGAGTGATAGCTTTGTTTCTTCCTTGCCTATTCTAATACCTTCAATTTCTTTTTCTTCTCTTATTGCTAAAGCTAATGTTTCCAGTACCATATTGAACAACAGTGGTGATAATGGACATCCTTGTTTCACCCCTGATCCTATTGGAAATGCTTCTAGCTTATCTCCATTACATATGATGCTTGCTGAAGATTTTAGGTAAATGCTACTTATTATGTTAAGGAAGACTCCATTTATTCCTATGCTCTCTAGTATTTTTAATAGGAATGGATTTTGTATTTTGGATGTTGTATTTTGCCAAAAGCTTTTTCTGCATCCTTTGAGATGATCACGTGGCTTCTGTTAGTTTTGGTGTTGATATGATCAATTATACTGATAGTTTTCTTGATATTGAACCAGCCCTGCATTCCTGTTATAAATCCTACCTGGTTGTAGTGTATTATTCTCGTGATAAGTTGGTGTAACCTATTTGCTAATATTTTATTTAAACTTTTTGCATCTATATTCATTAGGGAAATTGGTCTATAATTTTCTTTCTCTGTTTTAACTCTTCCCAGTTTAGGTATCAGCACCATATTTGTATCATAGAAAGAATTTGGTAAGACTTCTTCTTTGCCTATTTTCCCAAATAGTCTATATAATATTTGAATTAATTGGTCTTTAAATGTTTGATGGAATTCACTTATAAATCCATCTGGCCCTGGAAATTTTTTCCTTGGGAGTTCATCAATGGCTTATTCGATTTCTTTTTCTGAGATGGAGTTATTTAAGTGTTTTACTTCCTCTTTTGTTAATCTGGGCAATTCATATTTTTGTAAATATTCATCCATAAGATTGTCAAATTTATTGGCATGTAGTTGGGCAAAATAGTTCCTAATTGTTGTTTTAATTTCATCTTCATTGGTGTTGGATTCACCCTTTTCATTTTTGATACTGGTAATTTGGTTTTCTTCTTTCTTTTTTTAAATTAAATTAACCAAAGGTTTATCTATTTTATTGTTTTTCCCTCATAAAACCAGCTCTTAGTCTTATTTATTAGTTCAATAGTTTTCTTAATTTCAATTTTATTAATCTCTCCTTTGGTTTTCAGTATTTCTAATTTAGTATTTAATTAGGGATTTTTAATATGTTCTTTTTCTAGTTTTTTTAGTTGTATGCCCAATTCATTGATCTTCTCTTTCTCTGTTTTATTCATGTAAGCAATTAGAGGTATAAAACTTCCCCTAAGAACTGCTTTTGCTACATCCCATAAGTTTTGGTATGTTGTCTAATTATTATCATTCTCTTGAATGAAGTTATTGATTGTTTCTGTGATTTGTTGTTTGAATCATTCATTCTCTAGGATTAGGATTATTTAGTTTCCAATTAATTTTTAGTCTATCTTTCCATGGCCTTTTATTACATATGATTTTTATTGTATCATGATCTGAAAAGGATGCATTTAATACTTCTGCCTTTCTGCACTGAATTGTGAGGTTTTTATGCCCTAGCATATGGTCAATTTTTGTGTATGTGCCATGCACCACCAAGAAAAATGTATATTCGTTTCTATCCCCATTCAATTTTCTCCAGAGGTCCATCATACCTAACTTTTCTAAAATTCTGTTCACCTCCTTAACTTCTTTCTTGTTTATTTTGTGGTTAGATTTATCTAGTTGAGAGAGGGGGAGGTTGAGGCCCCCCACTAATATAGTTTTGCTGTTTATTTCTTCCTGTAAATCCCTGAACTTCTCCTCTAAGAATCTGGATACTATTATCACTTGATGCATATATGTTGAGTAATGATATTACTTTATTGTCTGTGGTGCCTTTTTGCAGGATGTAGTTTCCTTCCTTATCTCTTTTGATAACATCTATTTTTGCTTTTGTTTTGTCTGAGATCAGGATTGCTACCCCTGCTTTTTTTACTTCAGCTGAAGCATAATATATTCTACTTCAGCCTTCTACTTTTACCCTATGTGTGTCCCTCTGTTTCAAATGTGTTTCCTGTAAACAACCTATTGTAGGATTATGGTTTTTAATCCATTCTGCTATCCATTTCCATTTTATGGAAGAGTTCATCCCATTCACATTCACAGTTATGATTACTATCTGTGTCTTTCTCTCCATCCTATTTCCCCCAGTTTATGTTTTTCTTTCTCCTTTCTCCCTTTCCCTCATCACTAGTGCTTTGCTTTTGACCACCGCCTCCCTCAGTCCCACCTCCCTTAGTCCTACCTCCCTTCTATTAGCCCCCTCTCTTTTCTTCCCTTTTACGCTTACTACTTCTTCCCTCCCTTCTATCCTCTCTCCTTTTTCTTTCCCCTTTTCCCTCCTACTGCCTATAGGGCAAGTTAGATTTCTATACCTGAATATGTTATTCCCTCCTTGAGCCAAATCTTATGAGAGTCAGGTTCAAACAATGCTCATCTCCCTCCCTTCTTTCCCTCTACTGTAATAGGCTTTTATGTCTTTTCCTATAATGTAATTTACCCTTGTCTGCCTCCTCTTTCCTTTTCTCCCAGTACAATCCCTTAATTAGTTCAGATTAGTCCACTTACTATGATCCATTTAACCAACTTAATTAGATTTTTTTAATCATTACATCAAAGTCAACTTATACCCACCCCCTCTGTGTATACCCTTTTAAAATGATGTAATAACAATACAGTTCTCAAGAGTTATAAGTGTCATCTTCCCTTGTAAAGATGTTTTTTTTTTCCTGTCCTGTTTACCTTTTTATGTCTCTCTTGAGTCTTATATTTGAAGATCAAATTTTCCATTGAGCTCTAGTCTTTTCATCTGGAAGATTTGGAAGTCCCCTATTTCACTGAATTTCCATCTCCTCCCCTGAAAGATTATACTCATTTTTGCTGGGTGGTTAATCCTTGGTTGTAATCCAAACTCCTTTGCCTTATGGAATATAATATTCCACACCCTATGATCTTTTAATGTAGAAGCTGCAAGGTCCTGCATAATCCTGACTGTGGTTCCATGATATTTAAATTATTTCTTTCTGGCTGCTTGCAGTATTTTCTCTTTGACCTGGTAATTTTGGAATTTGGCTACTATATTCCTTGGTGTTTTCAATTTGGGATCTCTTTCAGGAGGTGTTCAGTGGATTCTTTCTGTGGCTATTTTACCCTCTGGTTCTAGAAACTCAGCAGTTTTCCTTGATGATTTCCTGAAAGATGCTGTCTAGGCTCTTTTTTTCATCATGATTTTCAGGTAGATCAATAATTTTAAAATTGTCTCTCCTGGATCTGTTCTCTGAGTCAGTTGTTTTACCAAGAAGTTATTTTACATTTTCATCTATTTTTTCATTCTTTTGTTTCTGTTTGACTGATTCTCACTCCCTCATAGAGTCATTAGCTTCCATTTGCCCAATTCTAATTTTTAACAAATTGTTTTCTTCTATTAGATTTTGTACCTCCTTTTCCATTTGGCTCATTTTATTTTTTAAGGAGTTTTTCTCCTCAGTGTGTTTTTGTGTCTCCTTTTCTGTTTGGCCAATTCTATTTTTTAAGTAGTTGTTTTCTTCTGTGTACTTCTTTTTCCATTTGGTCAATTATAAATATATATATATATGTGTATATATATATGTATATATATATGTGTATATATATATGTATATATATGTGTGTATATATATATGTATATATGTATATATATATATACACACACATATGTGTGTGTGTGTGTGTGTGTGTGTGTGTATGTGTATGTATTGCTTCTTGGTGAGACAGTCAGGGTTAAATGACTTGCCTAGAGTCACACAGCTAGTAAGTGTGAAGTGTCTGGTCTGAGACCAGATTTCAACTCAGGTCCTCCTGACTCCAGAGCTGGTGATCTATCCACTGAGCCACCTAGCTGCCCCACCAATTGTATTTTTTTTATTAATTTATTTTGATTTATCAACAATCACTTCCATAAGTTTTTGAGTTTTAAATTTTTCTCTTCCTCCCTCCCCACCTCCCTCCCCAAGACGGTGTACAATCTGATATAGGCTATACATATAAATTCCTATTAAACATATTTTCACATTAGTGATGTTGTAAGTAAGAATTAGAACCAATAGGAGGAACCATCAGAAAGAGGAAACAAAACACAACAGAAGAAAAAAATAACAAATAGTATGCTTCAATCTGCATTCAAACTCCATGGTTCTTTCTTTGGATGTAGATAGCATTTTCCATCATGAGACCTTTAGAGATGTCTTAGATCCTTGTATTGCTGAGAAGGGTTAAGTCTATCAAAGTTAGTCATCTCACAATGTGGCTGTTACTGTGTACAATGTTCTCCTGGTTCTGCTCACTTCACTCAGCATCAGACCATACGAGTCTTTCCAGGTTTTTCTGAAGTCTGCCTGTTAATAATTTCTGATAGCACAATAGTATTCCATCACATTCATATACCACAACTTGTTCAGCCATTTCCCAATTGATAGGCATCCTCTCAATTTCCAATCCTTTGCCACCACAAAAAGAGCTTCTATAAATATTTTTGTACATGTGGGTCCTTTTCCCATTTGTATGATCCCTTTGGGATATAGCCCTAGAAGTCCAATTGTATTTTTTAAGGACTTGTTTTCCACAGTTAATTTTTGTCCTTCCTTTTCTAAGCTATTGACTCTCTCTTGCATACCTTTCATTTCTTTTCCCAATTTTTCTTCTACCTCTATTATTTGGCTTTCAAAATCCTTCTTGAGCTGTTCCAAGAAGGTTTTTTAGGTTTCAGACCAGTTCATATTCCCTTTTGAGGTTTTAGATGTGGGTTTGTTGACAGTGTTGTTCTTTTCAGAATTTCTGCCTTGATCTTCACTGTCCTCATAATAAGAATCTATGATATATTTCTTTTTGCTCATGGTGTTTGCTTATTTCCTGGTCTTTAAAAAAACTGAGCTCTCCTAGTGGGGAGCAGGAGGCACTGACCCAAGCTTCTTGTGCTGGGAGCCCAGGGCCTGGTCACTGGCTTTGTGTGCTGGGACCTTAGATGCTGGCAGTTGGAGGCTTTTGGGTTCTGGCAGCTTAACTGGTGTTGGGCTGAAATCAGCAACACTGGAGCTCTAGGGGTAGGGGTGGGTAGTCTGGCCCGCTTTTCACTTTCTTTGGCTCCTTGCAGATGGATGTTT